AAACAGTGTGAGCTTTTATTATTCTTTTTTTTTTCTTTAATGGAACATGATATTTCATTGCAATTCAATAAAACCGTAAAGCAAAAAGCTTTTCATAGAAAATAAAAGGCTTGAAATTCCACCTTTTTTCTTCTCAAAAAAGGCCCATAGTATTAGTCTTAAGCAAACATGCCTTGCTCCTTTTATCATTCAGCAATATTTGCATATGGACAAAAAATTTGGATGAAAAAATTACATTTCAGATTTTTTAACAAAAATCAACCATAGCTTACAGACTGGCCTTGCAATGCCTATTGTCATTTGCATGTAACACAAATAGTAATGCCTACAAATGTCAACCTAAAATAAACATGCTTTGCTCACATTTCCACATCCATCCTATAATATTTGTATAGGAAGGCAAAAATTGAATAGAAGAGAATTTAATGATTATATTGCAATTTTCCTAGCAAACCTTACCATTAGGTGAAGTATAAAAAAATGGCCTACAATATACAATGCCTATTGTACCAACTATTCTTAGAAACCATTAAGCCTTTGGATGTTAGCTGTAAATTTTACTTCTACATCAATAAATTTCCCGCTTTCAGCTTGCTATCAGCAATTTGTCTTACCTTTTTTCTGATTAGAATTTTCATCCATTAATTAGTTAATGGGCACATTTTGACTTCAGGCTTAAATTATTTTGCAGAATTATTTTTAGCAATTTGTTGAAGTGTTTTTTTGGATAACCAGTTTGAATTATTGTTAAATTTTCGAAATCATCACCTAACAAAACATTTATAAGTAGAAATTTGAAATTTTGATCAGTACATTATTGGCTATTTCCTATTTCCCATTCTTCGTCGGTAATTTTGGCTTATTTTTGAATTGTTAGCCGAAGAAATTATTTGGTATGGTGTGATTTAGAAGAAATGCAAATAATTTAGTTATGAAATTAAACAAAAGAATGATATTTTAAAAGAGAGAGAGAGAGAGAGAGAAGAGGAGAGAAAAAGGGAAAAAGAAGCAATAGAGGAGGATGAAACAGAACAAAAGTATCTAAGACGTAAAAATTCTTTAAAGAATTTAAAAGTGCAATTAAATCATGGTAAGAATTTACACCAATATTCTCCATGCAATACATCTTTCTAACCTGTCTTTAATAGCTCAATAATTGTTTTAATTAGTTAATTATCATATCACCGTTAATATATATTATAAGATCAATAAATTACACCTGTCCACTGTTATTACTAACATTTAAATGCAAAAAAAAGGAGAAAAATCAATTGAAACATTTTGGATTGATAGAAGAGCTCATTTATGATTGAAATTCTTATCAAAAAAAAAATAAAAGTGCAAATCATTATGAAATTGACAAAAAAATAGTAACAGTATTGGTATTTATTAGTATTAGTATTAGTATTAGTATTAGTATTAGTA